CAAAACGAACTTCCCTAATCCCTGTTCAGCAAACCATTTACACAAGCTTGGTTGGTAGGTTATAGGCTACTTTCCTCGGACCATCTTGTCTTCAATATGCCATGGGAGTGTCAAATGCTTTAATCCTTTTTTTTTCGTATTGCGTGCCTGAGAAATTATAACTGTCTCTTTCTGATTTAAACTAGGTGATAAAAAAAATATGAATCACGGAGATAAATGGCGTCAAGATGGCAAAATGGGTCAACTGAAAACTTTGAAAAAACTAACTCAATTATTTTAGTGAGTTTTTAGATATTAAAAATGTGTGGGATGGATAATTATGTTGTTACATGATTTGGAGAAGTTTCTTGTTACAACCGGTATATATATATATATATATATATATATATATATATATATATATATATATATATATATATATATATAAATCAAAAGAAAATGATTGAATCCGTCAGCACAGCAATAAAGACAATATTTCCACACGTGATAGTACTTGACGTAATTTTCAGTTGACAATATGAATACGATAGCATTGTATTCTAAATTATTTTAGTTTCTAAGGACATTTTGTTTTGTTGTTAATAGTTATTTTGTTTTAATAAATTCATTTCGTTTTTGCGTTGAAAATGTCAGCATTGGACGAAATGAGTCGGTTAATGATACAGTTTTCCTATGGTCTTTTACGCAAAAATAAAGTTAACAGGCATGTTTGAGGAAAGCATACAGAGAAGGACGGGGAACAGGCTCAGGGTGTCAGATGTCGAATGACATTACACTTGACTATTTGAAGATTATTGTCATCGGGGAAGCAAGTAAGTGGAGGACAGTTCCACAGACGGGAAAAGCGTGAGAATATGTTTGAGTAGAAGAGACGGCTATATTTAACTGTTTTGTCTGTGAAAGGGTCGGCTGAGGTGCCAGCCTAATAACTCGCTTAAATTCATGTAATCTGGGAACCAGCGAAAGTAGCTCGTCGGAACTGTTGTCGTGAAAATACTTGTTGAAGAGACAGAGGAAAGCCACGCACGTCCGTGAGAAAGCGACTATAGCCTAGATGCCAGATCAAGACCTATCACATTGCATATATATATATATATATATATATATATATATATATATATATATATATAAAATATATATATATATATATATATATATATATATATATATATATATAACTTATTTCTATTAAGTAAATTCCTTATAGTTATAAATAAATTTACATAATATGCCAAGTGATGGCATATATAAAAGTGTCAAAAATCATATTTGTTTTATTTGTTCTTTGAATCAGTTGATCATGACACTTCTTCACTTATTAAACAACGTGTAAATTTCAACATTGAGTTATCTTTCTTGAAGTCAAAGTTGATATACGGCCTGGAATATGCACCGATATACCACAGGGATATCAACCGCTTGGCAAGTATACAATGCTGCTTTTCCCGCTATATAATGCATATCTTGTGGCAAGACAATATCCCTAACATCGAAGAACTTGTCAGACCAAAAATGCCAAAAATCGCACTGTATGGTAAACTAAGCTGTGGGAAACGATTGTGAGGCGTCCAAAGTCTCCAGTATAATTATTGTATCAAAAGGGACTTGAAAGAGACGGAAGTCGATATAAACACCAGTTTGCGGACCGCGTTAGATGGAGCCGAACGTAAGAAAAAAGTGTCTTTTTCTACTAAACAAAATATTCAAGGCATTACTTCAACGTAATGAGTCTGAATATAATTTCAGTATAAAAAATGATACTTTAATTAAATGTGAAAGCAATTTACTAAGACAAAAGTATATTGAAAGTGATTTAATCGCTTGGTCTTCGACACTAATGTTATGTTCGACTTTTTACAACATTTCACAAATATTAGCAGAATATATAAACAGACATATATTTTTTCAGAGTACTTGTTTTTCTTATTTTCCATGATATCACGGAAAATAAGGAAAAGATCATCAGCCTACAAGAATCAATTAAAAACGTGCAACCTTTGCATCGAGGAAAGATAGCTACTATTACATTCCGAAATCAAAATAAATTACTAAATAAACGATCTGCGCTCATCTCAGAATGCAGACATGAAAACAAATTTTACTACGTTACTTAAAAATGGAAAACTGAAATGAGTAAATGCAAATAAACAAAATAATACAAAAACAAGTAAAATAAATTAATCCAAACAAATAAGCAAATTAATAAATCATTCCCGTGAGAATAGACGAAATAGAATAAATAAAATAAAAAATAATAAAATACATAAAAACAAGTAAAAACAATCAACCCAAATAAGTAAATGAAGAAAATAATAATAAAAAAATTAAGAAACCAATCTCACCAAAATAACAGCCAGAAGAGACTACAATAAGTACCTCCATTATTTCGGCATAAATTTTCTATATTGAAGTTTAAAATGAATTTTTTACAACGAAAAAACATTCTTGAAGATTTCATTTTAGCTTTAATCGAAAGTTTAATAATTAAATTTACGATTTCTATTAATTAAACAATTCTGGTGTATTTCAGAAAGAAACTATATACATTTGATTGTCAGATTTAATTTCAAATTTTTAAATTTTCTTAAAAACGGCCATTTTCTTAATTTTAAGAAATTTGTAAACAAACACAAATTTATCGATTTTTAAAATATTTAAAAAAAATTCTGACACGTTATTTTAGTAAAATTAAAAAATTTAAAGTTAAAGTAATCTGATTTCAAAGAAATCTTTGTTACTTATAGCATAAAAAAATAATATACAACCAATTATTAACGAGCGGTCCCGTTCAGTTGTTCGATCTTACTGATAATGATTGATTGACGAGCCGATGACAGCTACTACTGATGACCATAAATGACATAATTTTTAAGTCTGAGTTTTTAAAAAAAAAATTATTCTATTTGAGTATGACACACACTAATGGAAATACAATACATAAAATAAAATTATTTAGTGAAATAGTTAATGAAAAAAAGAAAAAATAATTTAAAATTTAAAGTTTACACTTTTACAGCTGATCGGAAAATACAATCTATTAATAAACGAAATGTTTTGAAAGGGACAAAACCCTTAGATCACGTGACCCTGTTATAATAATGGCAATTTCTGTATATCATACATGGAAATAAGGAATGTATTAAGTAAAAAAATACAATATAAAAAATTATTTTTAAAAAAAGTAGCGCAACTAAATTTATTAAACTTAGCAATTTTGGATTCGTAAATTTTTTTTCTACTTAATTAGTACATAATATCGAGGAACCCTCCTAATACAGAGCTTTACACGATTTAAAACTATTATAAATTATTATAATTAAAATTTCTTAAAAAAACGAAACAATTCATGTAAAAATTAATTATTCATCAGAAAAAATTATTTCTTCAGACAATAATGTCTTAATATTACTTATTTACAAAAGCAATTAAAAGCTTTTCTAATTAAGTAATATCATAGTTTTATTGGATTCATTATTTTTCAATTCAGAGCAGATTTTCAGTTAAATAGCTCAAATTTGTGAAAAGAAAAGTAGATTATTTACCATCTTCGAAGACTCCTACTTTTAACAAAAAAAAAAATTCAGGAACCAAAAGGGTTTTGGGCGAAATTTCATTAAATTAAGTAAATGTGGGGTAACATATTTTAAAAAAATATAATTTTACCAAAATTTTCTAAAAAAATATTTCAAAAATAATTTCATTCATTTGTGAATAAGTCCTGATAATTTCATTAAGATTGGACAATTATTTTATTTTTACAAGAATTTCCAAATCAATATGTTTTCAACGGTAAAAAAACGCAAAAAAAAAATATGTTATTTTAAACGTCGCCGCGATGACGTAAACAAAGACGATTTTAACCAAAATTTCGAACGTGTTAGAAAATATTAAAAAATTTAAAAAAATAATTAAAAAATACTTTTTCCTTCATCTAAATAATAACATAAGCATTTTGACGATATTACTTTATTTTCTTTAAGTTTGTGGCATTTTTCATTTACGCTATGCTGTTTTTCCGCGAAAACAGTGGACATGCTTAGACTACAACAACCAATCCAAAAATTGGACGTAAAAATAGCTATAACAGCTAAAAATCGATAATAAAAAAACACCACTACTTTACTTAAAAATCAAAAATAAAATAGAATAAATACAACTATACAAAATAGAAAATAAGTAAATAATTAAAAACTAATAAAAATGAACCCAAATAAATAAATAAATGAACAAATTAACAAATCGCCCCACTAAAATAACCGTTAGAATTTTTAAAAATAAGCCTAATTAAGCAAAAACAATTAAAAACACTTAATCCAAATAAATAAATCAAAAACTGTCCACACGCCAAAATAACAGAATAGGCTATGTCAAGCAATCTAAACAGTAGATGAATAAATAACATTAATTATCTTCCCAGACAAAAACAAACTATTAAATAAGCGACCTAAGCAAACAGCCCCCCCACAATATTTTTCCTATGTTAACAAATCATCAAACTTCGAAAGAATAAATAATGCAAAATAAAAATTAAAAGCAAGTAAAATAAATTAACCCAAATAAATAAATAAATAAATAAACAAGCCACTTCCGCAAAAATATGCGCCAGAAAAGATTCCCCACAATGCACCACTGAAACTTATATATATAAATAGCCGAGGAAAAATCCAGCATTCGCGTCCTGACGATTGCGTCCAGCATGAATCAGCCTGTCAATGCTCACGTTTTTATATATATATATATATATATATATATATGTAAATATATACAAACTCAACGAATATATATAAATGATGTAAATACAATCATATATATATATATATATATATATATATATATATATATATATATTATGAGATATAATGATAGATATTCATAGAGAAAGAAAATTATTGTGGAAAAATGCTTAAAAAAATAGGAAAAATTCATGTGATGCGTTTCGTCCATTAGGACTTCACCGGCTTTATTGTTCACTTTGGTGGGACTGCACATGCGCACAAAACTTAAATAAACATAGATAGATAGATAGATAGATAGATAGATAGATAGATAGATAGATCCAATCAAATATTGACAGAATAATTAGTTTATGAGCATATAGGAAATCTTTATTAATCTAACACGTTTCACTTCTCTCATGCCTACAACAGATAGATATGGAGGAAAAGATATACGTGCTGGTATTTTTACTTTTGTGTTGTTTGAGTTTCATTGGTTAATCAAGTTTCTCGTGAATTTTACTTTTTGAACAAACGTTAGTATAATTTATGCCGTTCCAGATTCATGAACAGATGGCTCGTCCCTTGAAAGTTCCAAGAAATAAACGGATTCCAAGCCTAACTGAAAAAAAAACGTCTCTTTACACCAACGATAAATATGCGGTGATCTGAATTCCTAATAATAATAAAAGTGAATCCAGCTAGATTAAGCGCCTCCTGTGTGTTCTTTATATTATCATACATATATATATGTGTGAATATATATATATATATATATATATATATATATATATATATATATATATATATATATACATACATACATACATACATACATATATATATATATATAAATTTTTGTAAGCATTGCATAAGATAATTAGGCTCTGAGCCATATCACTAATAAAAATACTACCACTAAATTATTTCTAAAAAAAATATGCCACGTATTTTTGTCGGATTAATAATATATTGCAAGTATAAATCAATAGATATATGCAAACTGATAAATTTTGAATGATGAATTGATATTTCCAACTCACACGCATATGCACACATAAAAAAGTATGTGCACGTGTGCGTGCCTGGGTACGTGCGTGTGTACGTAGGTCAGTAATTCAAAACCTGCGATGACCTCTCATCGAAATAAAGTAAACATATGATTTTGATATGGAGATTCACGCATTTTCATTCAGAATTCTGTAAGAATTTTGGAAGTAAATATTGACTTGATTAAAATGATTCATGCCTTCCGAGATGCCAACGACATACGCCGCTGGAAAAAAATGATGAAATAAAATTAATGTATGGAAAGCAAGCAAAAGTCAGTGAATATTAATCTGGATACGATCAGATACAGACACACAGACATACACAAATACATATATATATATATATATATATATATATATATATATATATATATATATATATATATATATATATATATATATATTTAAAGAAAAACAGACCACTTTAAGGTCCCATTATAATAATTTATTTCACCAGAGCCCTTATAAGGGACGCTAGATCATCAGATAACACTTCCAAATATGAATTCATACTTTTGACGGGTAGTATCAATTTTATGTAATTTAACAGAGAGGGTAGAGAGGAGTGGTGGGAGAGACATGGTTGAGATTAGAGAGGGTTTATTTTAATATTTCTTTCAATCATACTTTATATTGGGGGAAGAGGAACCAGATCTTGACCTATTTAAACGGTTAACTTAACGGAAGTGAGATATTAAAATGGGAGGAAGAAAGAGAAAAACTTCATAAATTAAATATATATATATATATATATATATATATATATATATATATATATATATATATATATATATATATATATATATATATATATATAATAGCTCGCCAATCGTATTCGATGATACCCGTCAGCTAGTTCGGCTATTAATCTTATTGCAGACACGCTCAGGCATATGTGTGTTAGTTCTACACCAACAGAGACAACCTGTGGTTTATACTGCTACTATGCTGAGCAGACCTTAGTTACAGTTTCTGGGAGGGAGCGTGTTATGTTCAGCAATGTAAACAAACACCTGCAAACTCCAACACTCGGACACGGTGATTGTAACTTCAATCTCGCGCAGCTGTCGAAAAGCCTAACTGTTCCGTCTACCCAGTTTCACTTACAAGGCTTTTGCTCAACACATGGTATGGTTTTCAGGCACTTTCCAAAGATGCCGCACGCTTGGATCGAACCCTTTTCAGACCGATAACATCAGGAAAGTCTCCTTCCTCACAAATCGTTCGTTTCTGAATTTGTATGTGTTTGAATTACTGCTATGCTGCTATTACCTACATATATATATATATATATATATATATATATATATATATATATATATATATATATATATATATATATATATATATATATATATATATATATATATATATATATATATATATATATATATATATATATATATATAATAAAATATAGTTTTACGGTATACTAGATACACGATACATTAATTTTAAAACAATTTTAAAAAAGGAAAAATCCTTCTTGAGGCTTTTATTTTAGATTGAATTCAAAACTTATAAATGAAATTTATTATTTCCAAGGAGCAAAATTCTTTGCTGTATTTCACAACTAATTTAAAGTGACTGAAAAGAGTTTTCGTTTTGAAATAATGGTGAGATTCGAACCAGTGTTTTATGGTCATAAATCATGTTTCATTCTATAATATAATCATATTGTGCATATTTATTTTTATACTGATCATTTCATATTCTCAAATCAGTTTCATGGTGTTAAGATGAAATTCATCAAGAAAGGCGCGGTAATATTTTTTTTAAACACATGTACTTTTAATCTTTTCCAATATCATTTTCAGGGATAAGTGGCTAGAAAATATATTGTAACAGCGTTTTATTGATAGTTTTAAAGTTAAGTATATGCGATTATGATTTGCCTTTTCACAAGGCTAAGTGTTTATATCCTTGTGAGCTGCTGAATCATGTAATTTACAATATGTTTCATTGATTGTATATATATATATATATATATATATATATATATATATATATATATATATATATATGTGTGTGTGTGTGTGTGTGTGTGTGTGTGTGTGTGTGTGTGTGGCTAGATATCGTTTGGCCTCAAACCAAGACTGAAACCCAAACTATTTCCCCGGAGATCTATAAGATTTTTTACGTATTTATTTTAAAATAAAAAGGCCGGTGACACGGAGAGTATAAATAGTAAAAATATTCGCTGGTTCCCAGACTTCATGAATTCAAGCGCCCTACGAGTCTGGCATCCCGCTCTCACCTTTTCACTGTCGAAACTCCTAAATGTAGCCGTCTCTTCTACTCCATTAGATTCATGTCTCGCACCTCTCGCCTGTGGAACTCCCTTCCCTATTCCAGTTTCCCTGTGAGCTATAATCTCCAGCTATTCCAATGTAATGTCAATCAACATCTCCAGTTGCCTTGATCTATCCACTATCCTTCTCCTCATCCTTTCCTCTATCACTCCTATCTGATCTTGCTCCAAATCTTCTGTAACCCCTAGCGTTCTCGCTTTGCTTTGGGTTGAACGCTTAAAAAAACAAACAAAAAAAAATAACAGATTTTTTCAATAATACTAAGTTTAAATAGATAGCAGAACATAGACTAGTAGATATATTAAAATACACGAGCATTACTTAGCATACAAAGGATAGCTTCTGATATATGAAGTGGGGATCCGTGATTAGACATGTCAAAATAATACCCGTAGTAACATACAGTTTCAACTTTATGAAATGGAAGTTGAATGACATTAAAAGATAGGACGCCAAGAACAGAAAAAATAGTTACCAAATGAGGATACACCAGCCCAAATCAGATGTTGATAGACTGTACGTACCAAGAGCATTGGAGAGCCGAAGTCGAAGCCAACTAGAACTAACTCTAAAAAATATAACAATCGAATTGAAATCATAGCTCACAAAAAACAATGTCCCTCTCCTACAAATAGTAAAACACCAAATCAACTCCAAAGAAGCTGCATTCTTCAAGAAACAGCTTAATATACCAAAAACCCTACTTACAAAAACGAATCGAATACAAAATACGCCAAACAAATAAAACAAAAAGCAAACAAAATTGGCCAAATGAAATTATAAAACTGTGAAAGGGGACATGACAAATACTAAAAAGAACGAATGAAACAGATGTGCACCAACAAAAATCATATCAGTGTCTGAGGATCCTCAGGTTGAATACCGAGACAGAAGGGCTTATTATTGCAGCTCAGGACCAAAGCCTCAAAACCAGATCCTATTACCGACACATAATCAAGGATGGAACTAAACCGAAATGCAGGATCTGCGGAAAATATGATACAACTGTCAACCATATTACTCCAGGATGTCCGGAACTAGCAGAAAATGAATATACCTAGAGACATAACAACGTAGTTACCTATGTATACTGCAAGATATGCAAAAAGCACAAAATCGAAATAACGATGGTATGAGGACAAACCAGATACAGTTACCCAAAATAACGATGTAACTATCTTCTGGAACATGCCAATTGAAACTGAAGGGGAATAAAATTCAACAGACCTGATATTATAATAAAATACAAGAAATTCAGGAAGTGTATGCTTATTGGCATAGCGGAAACATCTGAGAGAATCATTTTCATGAAATTTATTGAGAAATTGTCCCAGAAATTGTTAACCAGAGAACAAGATTAACAGGATGAGGCGAATGAAGACTGACACTGTACCAATAGTAATCGGAGCACTGAGCTTCGTGAGCAAAGGAATATACAATTTTATTAACAGTGTCCCAGGTAACATCAACATACAAGTTGCCCAGAAAATCGCACTACTTGGAACATTCCATATACTAAGAAAAGTGCTATCAATTAAATGACAATTCTCCTACATAGCCTAAGGACCATAGTTTTAGCCCTTCTCTACTGGTTACAAAGCAAATATTATTATTATTATTATTATTATTGATAATAATAATAATAATAATAATAATAATAATAAAATCATTGATTAATATATTATTGGTGTTGACAATAAACAAATTGAATATTAGTGACCAATAAGCTTGTGTTTGGCTCAAGGCAATCAGAATAAAAAAAACACAAGAAGAAGAAGAAGAAGAAGAAGAATCGGGACGACTGAATTATCTTCATATTTTCCCCAGAATGGTGTTTATTTGGTTCGGCATTTGACACAGCTGTTATTCGAAACCGTGCATCTATTGAACTTTTTAGCTGAACCTTTATTTGCTGCTACACATTTATTTGAAAGTGTCAAATTTCACATCGACATGACTATAAAATATGGTATTTTTATTCGAAACAAAATAGCAGCTGTTTTTGAAAATATATATATATACGTTTTTCGTCATATAAAATTATCACAAGAGAAACTTATTCCACAGCATCGTAACATGCTGTCAGATGTGTGATATTTTATACATGCTTGTGTGCGTCTGCAAATATGCGTTTCCGGGTTTTGTATGTTCGTGTCTTTGTATATCCAACAAGGTTCCATGCAACTATGAACAACTCCTAATGTCTACATAATTTCTCTTCGCAAATGCAAAACAAACAACAGCACACACGAGCAAGACACACGCTCAAACACATATATATATATATATATATATATATATATATATATATATATATAGATATAGATATATAGATATATATATATATATAGAGAGAGAGAGAGAAACAGGCCAAAGAAGGAAATACGGAAGTAGGGAACAATTATATAAACTCTGAAATAACGGAAGATTGTGAATACTGACAAAATATAAAGAAGAAAAAATTCCTTGAAGAATATTAATACAAAAGACGGCTAGGATATAGGTTTGCATCAAATGAACTTTTGCATATCGAAGTTGCTTAAAATGATGGAATTTCTCTCTTATTTCATTTTAAAAGCTAACTTGTTTAAATATCAAATTATTCAGAGATCAGATAGAAATTTAATGAAGTAAACTTACATGTATATACTGGCTCAAATATAGCGTTTTCTTATGAGTAACCGAATCGAAAAAAGGAAAAAAATCCGGCATAATTGTAAGTACACCTTACTAAAGATGAAAACGTTCGATTGGTTTAGTGAATTTGGGCATTAGTTTGAAGATATTCCTGAAGTAAATATATTATCACACACACACACACACACACACACACACACACACACACACACACACACAGACACCTATATATATATATATATATATATATATATATATATATATATATATATATATATATATATATATACGTATGGAACTAGCGTGATTCCTCCTCTGATTTTATTAAGGTACATGTAAGGATTTTATTTTCCAAATAAAATTCTCGTTATTTTCATGATTTTTTGGGTAAATACGAGAAATCTGATAAAAATAAATTGCAAAACAATCGCCATTTTCACTTTTGCTCATAAATATATCAAAGGTAATCTTTATAGTTTTCTTTTCTCTATTTACCCACAAACACACACACACACACACACACACACACACACACACACACACACATATATATATATATATATATATATATATATATATATGTTTATTGTAGTATCTCGTCCTTGTAGAGTACTGTATCATTTTTTATCTACAATGGGAAGCTTTGGCGGTGCAGAGACCTGCGAAATCATAGGTATATATATATATATATATATATATATATATATATATATTTATATATATATACCTAAGATTTCCCAGATATATATGTGTGTGTAGGTGGGTGTGTACACGAACACACATACTACAAGTTTAAGTCACTCCTGTTTTTTTTCTTATTGCCCAAAAGTATTTATTTTGTAATTTATATAATACAACATACTTATATATGGTTAAAAAAAAGTGTGTCATGATTTTTGTTGGAAATTTTTTATGGTAAAAACATAAAAATTATATTATGATTAAATTTTCTTCCATCAGAATATCCATCTAACGCTTCATTTCAGCGGCATCCATTTTCGTGCATTCGTTGTAAATGTTTCTCAAATGATAACTTTGGTAACTGATTTCATTCTTTTTTCAAAGATATTTGGAATATATTTTAATACTTTTTTTCGCTTTCCTGTCAACTTGATCCCCTGCTAATTCTGTAGGTGCTTTTGTTACAGACATATTACATACACAAACACGTATATATATATATATATATATATATATATATATATATATATATATATATATATATATATATATATATATATATATATATATATATATATATATATATAGAGAGAGAGAGAAAAGGAGAGAGACAGGATATATTCATCGAAGCAAATTTGCTTGTATATGTCTATTTATTTTATTACAGTCCTCTCAATTTTAAGGATAAATTGTTTAGTCTTGATAGTAGACTGAAACGCCTTAGTTTTGGTAATTTCTTTTATTTTCTCATGTATTTTCCTCTCATCGAAGATCATTTTCAGGGTGGGAAATTGCTAATATATATATATATATATATATATATATATATATATATGTGTGTGTGTGTGTGTGTGTGTGTGTGTGTGTGTGTGATTGCAAATAAATCGTATCATAACCACATCGGCGCGAGTGTTTCGAATGTTAAATTAAAGATCACGAAATCTATGTGCTGTTCTCACCATTATCGATTTGTCAATGATGCGAATTTTTTATAATAATGGTATGGATAGGACCTTCCATAGTTTGAACCCAAACTTTTCATTATACCTGACTTAAAGTAACTGCTTAGAAAATGCTGTGGTGTGCTGTTGTACCACGAACTAAAAAAAAATCTTGTACGAGATTGGAGACTACTAGTCTTTTTCAATCGCCTCATGGGCTCCATTTCTGAAACTTCCATATTTACAGTACAAAATATTGTTTGATTCTATTGGCGTTTAAGAAACAAAAGTCACCCTGAGTGGACGCCCGCAGCCGGCATTAGCGAGCCACCCTTGCAGACAGGTAGACACAGAAAGGACTAGCCTGTTATTACTGATGGTTCCCGAAAAAGATTGTTAATACAAAATTATGCAGAGAATTTTCAAGTTTTTACTCCGATTATTATCATCACAATCTTTACATCCCTGGCGACGAAAACTATAATTACTTTTACTGGTGTTTCAAATCACCAGCCAAATAATATGATCAGATGTATGTAACCTAATCCAGGGAGACATATAAAACCAGATTTAGATAATTATGGTCAGATTGAGGTGGAGATAAATTTCTTTCGGAAGATAGATACATATAACCAAAGTCCGAGGAGAACACATCTAAATAAACAAGAACAGATTAGGAAGAATATGGGACAAGATTTAAATATATATATAATCAGATTGAGCCATAAAATAACTTAGTTATATGTGTGTGTTTGTGTGCGTACACACACACACACACAAAACACACACACACACACACACACACATATATATATATATATATATAGACAGACAGACAGAAAAAAAATAAAGATTGATTGACAGATAGATATGGGAATGGGGTTCAATTTTAAGGAAGCACTTTGCTTTGATGTCAATGCTTCTGTAGAAAAATATACCCTATTTGATTTAATTCCATTTTCAACGAAGTTTTTTTGATTGCCCTACGTATATATGAACTGATTGGAGATTATATTTTCCTTAGTTAGGTAGATATGCAAATGCTATCCGTTATATATATATACATACATAAATATACATACATATATATATATATATATATATATATATATATATATATATATATATATATATATATGCATACATACATATATATATATACATACATACATATATATATACATTTATATGTATATGTATGTATTGTTGTAAAGTGTTATATATATATGTATGTTTGTATATATATATGTATATATGTATGTATGTGTGTATATATATATATATATATATATATATATATATAGATAGATAGATAGATAGATAGATAGATAGATAGATAGATAGAAGTGCAGTGATGTGATACTTATGACACTTGCCTATACTTAGTATGTAAATATTGATAACTCCTTCCTGGACTGCATAAATTGCTGGTTTCATTGGTTGTATCAGTGCCTGGTTCTTCATGGAGTTTGTGTAGAGAATTAAAACTTACACTTTAAAATGTTTGCTTTTAATTCGATTTTCTCACGAATTATTGAAGGACCTTTGTATATATGATCCAATTCAGACATAAAATGCATTAGATAGATAGATAGATAGATAGATAGATAGATAGATAGAGAGATAGATATGAAAAGCTTGTTCACTTCCTCCTAAATTGTATAAATATTGAGCATTATCACTTGCAGAAGCGCTTTGCTGTTGATGGCACATATGTACAGATATATTTATCTGGCACATTTAGGGGAGGGTTTATCATCTCTCATGTCTTTATTCGGGCAGAGTGAAAGTAATTTACGGCTGCGTCGGAGAACAGAGGCGAAACTAAGTAAAATAATAATGTTCTTGGTCCTAGAGAACAGCTGCTTGAGGCTGTACCCCTTATGGACCTAGAGACGGAGATCGGTGCACGTCATCGAGTCCAGTGCAGCCGACAGTTGCGGGGAGGCTTGGGAAATTTTGGCCCTGGTGTGCGCCTTCGTGTTCTCCACAATAGACCCGATCTGTGAAATAGGGAGATGAGGTAAATATCTATATCTAGAGACATGTAGGTTATACTTAAAAAAATTCTTTGAATATTATTTTTCCATAAACCTTTTCACTGGGATCCACATCTATGTTCATACTGCATCATGAATCAAGATAGATAGATAGATAGATAGATAGACAGATAGATAGATAGATAGATAGATAGATAGATAGATAGATAGATAGATAGATAGATAAAATTATATCTATGGCTGTATGTCTTTGTATATTATATACTATAATGCCTTGTTATTAATGGTACATATATAGATACATAGAGGTTTATTTTAAAAAAAATTGCTTTGACTTTTATTTTTCATGATCTTTTTGATTTGATTTATTATGTATGATCATATTGGACAATAAATCAATTCCAGTAGATAGATAGATAGATAGATAGATAGATAGATAGATAGATAAGGTCAGTAACACTTTATAACCTTCATCTAATTTGCTTATTCCTATTGACCATATGCCATGAAATGTTTGCATTTGTTAAATTCACTTCACAACTGGACGGCACATATGCACGTATTTAATATGGCTACATGCCATTATTTGTTTAATGAATGAAATAAATTGGCAGATATTTCAAACATCTAATCTTCTTTCCTGCTTCTAACTGAAATAATTTATACTAGGATTAGCGCTTGATTTATTATTGTTATTCTCTCCCCTATTATAATTGATATTTTGATAATGTTATATAATCTTTTTCGTCAGCATCTTCCTATTCCTTTTTATTTATACTCGTGCTTCCTCCGCCATTTATATTAGCTGAAACTTCCTGGAAATCAAAAGAAATATTTTCTCAATACATCTTCACTCTTTTCAGTGTTTTTACGATACATTAGCTGTCCTGTAGTGTTGCTAGTTTCATTTCTTTTTCGAATTTCTTGATTGTCCGTGCATTTTTGCGAGGCTATTTGGAACATTTCCAGGCTCAACCAATGGCGATAAGTGCAGCTGTAGTTAAAAGTCTGATGGTCTTTAGCAAAGCGCATAGCATTTCCAGCATTTTTTTTGTTTTTTTTTGTTTTGTTTTTTTTTGTTTTTTTGTATTCTGTTTAAGTTACCATGGTGAGCAAAGGAGATATTCAGAAGATAGCAAACCTTTTTAGCGTTTACGTTACTCAGTTATGACCAGAGTCCATGAGAGTCATGCTCTATCCAGTATCAGGGCAATTAAAATCATTATTATTATTATTATTATTATTATTATTATTATTATTATTATTATATTAATAGATGTAATACAAGTATGTCTTACTTTTCTACCTTTTCTTTGCATCTTTTGATTATATTTTATCAGTTTCCAAGTGTTACTAATAACCTGTATTTAAAGCTTTAAACATATCCCCAATAATAATAATAATAATAATAATAATAATAATAATAAAATAATTATTATTATTATTATTATTATTTCCTTTGATTTCCTGAATCCATTAATTTCTTTCCGGGTCCCTTAAGTGATCTTAGGTTAGAAATGGCATTTTCCACTGAGCAATTTAAAAATAACAAAACAAACACACACACACGCGCGAGCGCGCGCACACACACACACACACACACACACACACACGCACACGCACACACGCGCACACACACACACGCGCACACACACACACACATTTTACATAGATAAAGCCCGTCGTAAAGTGTGGGCTGTAATCCTGGTAACATTATTTTGTATTTCTTTAAGGCATGGGCTACCAGAAATCCGTTCAATGAATCTATTGCAATATTTTCCAATCAATCCGAGGGCTCCAACTACGACAGGGAACTTTTATGTTCTCATGCGCCACATTTTTGTGATTTCGATTCCAAGATCCTTGTATTTTGAAGATCTTCAAAGACACATTGCAGTCTGCAGGGACTGCGATATCAAGAGTCAGGTTGTTTGTGGTCTCTCGTAGCGATGTCTGGTCGATTAGCTTTGATTGTTCTGTCAGTGTTTATTGTGTCGTCCCATAAAATTGTTAAAAGTTCTATCTCTGTAACCTGGCCTGGGTGATGTTCATATCAATTTCATTCAATTTCCTTTTAGTAGAAGTTGCAGATTTTCCATTATTATTATTATTATTATTATTATTATTATTATTATTATTATTATTATTTCCTTTGATTTCTGGCGTTTATTTCTTTCCGGATCCCGCCAAGGGACATAATGTTAGAGATGGCATCATGAAACTTTCCACTGAAAAAAAAATTACATAGATAAAGCCCTTCGTAAAGTGTGGGCTGTACTTGTCAGAACATTTTTTTTAAATCTTTGAGGCATGGACTTCCATGGATCCCTTCAATTAGTCTACTGCAATCTTTTCCAACCAGTCCTAGGGCTCCAACTACAACAGGGATTGTTGATGTTCCCATATGCCTCATTTTTGAGATATTTATTTCAAGGTCCTTATATTTTGACAGCTTTTTGAATATCTTCAAAGATACATTGCAGTCAGCAGGGACAGACATATCAATAAGGAGGCACTTTTTTGGTTTGTAGTCTTTAATGACAATCTATTATTATTATTATTATTATTATTATTATTATTCCTTCATTTCATTTCAACCGTAGACCAAAGGCCTGAAATAGTATCATGACGTTTTTACTGAATTTTTTTTTAACATCTATTTTACATTAATAACGCACTTCGCATGTTTTGAGGTGTGCCTTTGAGAACAAATTATTATTATTTTGTCAGAAATGGCTACATGAAATTTTTCTCTGATTACATTTATAACAAAAATTAAATCCCACAAAATTTGCATAGATTAAGCTCTTCGGATGTGAGCTGCAATTGTGAGCACTATTTTAAATTTCTTAATGCATGGGCAACCAGGAATTCCTTCAATGAGTCTGTCGGAACCTTTTCCATTCAATTCGAGGAATCCAACTACAACTAGAATTATCGATGCTCTAGTGTGTCACATTTTTTCAGATTTCTACTTTACGGTCCTTGTATTTCGATAGTTTTTAGTAGATCTTTAAACATTACTATCTGCATTATCAAAAAAACAAACACTTTCTGTTTTTACAGACTTTGATCGCGATGTCTGACGGATTAGCTTTAACTGTTCTACCAGTGTATATTTTAAAGTTCCATAATATTGTAATAATAATTATTATTATTTCCCATGATTTCTGTCGTATACGCATTTCCTTCTGGGTTCCACCCAGAGACCTAAGGTCGGAAATGGCATCATGATATTTTCACTGAACATGTTTTAATCTAAGGGCACACATTTTACTTTGATAAAGGCCTTCATAAGGTGTGAGGTGTACTCGTGAGAACACTTTATTATTATTATTATTATTATTATTATTTATTATTATTATTATTATTATTATTCTCTCAGTGAGTTGATTTATGAGCATAATTACTAAATTCCTTCCAGCATCTATGAGTAAAAAGGGCAAAGTAGAAGTGTTATCTATGAACATTTGGGGCGTTTCGTTTACATGGAGTGGATTTTGAGGATGATTTTTGCAGTTTCGCACAAAGAAAAGCAGGGATAATCATGGTTTTACGTTTCAACATTTTTGTTACTTCGATTTTCACGTCCTTATTATAATGAGAATCTTTGAAATTCTTTATTATAAATAGCGAAATCCTGTGGATAAGTCATATCAGTTCTTATCGTTATTATAATTATAATTATTATCATCAATATTATTATTATTATTATTATTATTATTATTATTATTATTACCATTATTATTAATGTCGTTGTTGTTAAGAACTAGTTATAAGGTATGGTAGTAAATATGTCTGGTTTGCACAAATACTGACGCCAAATGATAACATGTACTCTTTCTATGTCCCCTTCGATAATACTCTACTGAGTAGAGACGAATTTCCACAAAGTAAAATTGTTTCAACCATATTTAAAGTGAGCCTACCTTGTATCTTGCTTTTAGTTTTCTATAGCTTTTATGACCGTTACACTGGGCCCTGAAGATCGTAGCTATAACGGTATAGTTTTCAACTTCGACATTTTTCAATATCAAATTGAAGTCTCACATATTTATTTTGTCATATTCTTCAACAGATGTATTATATTCTGACAGAACCACAATTCCGATGCAAGGCATTTTGTCTGGTTGTAGTCTATAATCATTCGTCAGAGAGTTTAGATTGTATGTATCTGTCAGTATGTTATAGTAATTTCCCATCGTATATTATTATTAACAATATTATTACAAAAACTCTAATTATCAATAGATTCCATTGTATTTTCATAAACATGATAGCGAAAATAATTGTTAAGCTTTTCTAATATAAGAATATGGATGTAGAAATGAGGAGAAAATGATTTTTAATCACAACAATGACTCTGAGTTGTTTTATGTATTTATTTATTGATAATTCACCCAAAACAAGGCGCGAGAGCCACTCCAGATGGAGGATCACTAAGGGTTATTGTAGGTGGAGGAATTAAGAATATATATGATAGATATCAGTTGACCCTGGACCGAATGATACCCAGAGTGTAGTTGTCAGTAAAACATCTCAGGAGTTGGTTCCACAGAGAAACAGTTCTGGGGAAGGAGCTATCCAAGGGGAACTGGCTTTTTATCAACTGAACATGAAAAGAACTGAGATAGTTTTAGTCTATGGATACGGCATGATGGGCCCTAGTTTTGAAGTTCCGAACTGGTGGCGCTAAAGAACTGATGCACGCGT